GAAGAAACGAACTAGCAGTAAAAGACACCAAAAAACAAAACAAATTGTTCGAGAGGAGGAAGTTTCCCGAATTTGTTTTAATGTGATAACTGCTTTTTGCAGTTTGCGATCCGAAATTTATACAGGACATGACCGAGTATAAGATCTATCCAAGTAATCAGGGAGAAAAATAATGATAGAATACACCGAATTCGAAAAATCGAGGACGTCCTGCAGGGGGTGTTCTGTGTATCCGCAGTCAATACATGTCATTCCACGTCGAGAAACGAGTTTTTGAATTGGTGCCCGGAAGTAGGCGGTGTTTCAAAATGTGGGCCATTTTGTAATGTTCTAGAGGTGGGCGAACTCTTTCTCATGGATTTGTGAAACCACTGTTCGCACAAGAGAGTTTGTTCGCCCTTCCCTGGAACTCATTCTACCTGCTATGCAATCCTCATTTCAGAGCCCAAAATCTTTTCCTAGCTAGCGGCTTCTGCCTCTAAATGCCGTCCTATTTCTGAAAGAAGATTGAACAAGTGGCCTGGTAGTGGAGCTGGTAATATTTTATAGGTTCGCGGGCTTTGCAGATAGCTCGAATGGCTCGGTTATTACCAAGACATTCTAAGTGGCACGGCATTTTGGACTAGCGCCGGGAACCATCTTCTTTCCTCTTCCTGGTCCAAGCCACATCTTGTCCAGAAAATGCGACCAATCTGGTTCCCTCCTATTATGCCTTTTGTACTTTCGCAGTATGTCTCGATTAATGTGAACTTATTTGGGCAGCTTATGTAGTCGAGGAAGGTGGGGGGGGGGAGGAGGCGGGCACCACTCGCCAGCGCTCCCGTATCCCTTCCTCTAATCAAGGCTTCGCCTCTTCCCGGATGAGCCTTTCTTACTTAAGCCGTTTTGAGGAAGATGTATATACCATTTTCACTTTAAATTCACCACTTTTCAAACCAAATTCACCACTCTTTTTAGACCGGGCAGTTCACCAACCAGATCACGCCAGACACCACTGCGAACCCTGCCCCGACGGTCACGCCTACTTGTCAGCGCGGACATAGATTTTCAACACATGGCCGACTCCGCCCAGTCTTTAAAGGGTTTGTTGCGAACTTCGAAATTCATAAGAGAGAGATAGATGCTGCTGAACTAGTTCATATTCGTGCTTGTAACAAGCTTCAGCTAGAGTTCATACTTTGCGTCAGCTTTTTTGAACGACTACAAAAGGACTGGTTTCGGTCTAGCGTTTTGAGCATTTCTTAGGTAGGTTTGAGCTTTTCGCGGGCAGTCGCTGAAACCGCTGACGTACGTTCAAAAAGCTAGATCGACATCGGTTCCCTAATCGCTCTAAGCGATGATGCAAAGTATGGACGCAGCCTTAGCGCCATGGTCATAGACTTGATTGAAGTTACATTCCACGGGTTATATCGTCTTACCTTGAGAAGTCCACCGTTATAAGCTTGTGGAGTCACCTTGGCCCACTTTAAACAAAACCATCGGAAACGCCCCCAAACGTCCGCTTTATTCTCAGCAGTGAACGAGCATACTTTCCATGAAGATGCAGGGACACTCAGGCTAGTGACCCGGCTGGCGGGGGGCGCAGAAACAAAGAATCTGTTGCAGCTCAAACGCAGTAGTGCACTTATAGACATCCCCCATACTGTATGGCGGCCCTTACAGCCACCGTGTTGCGCCCCTTGCAAAGCGGCATTTCAAAATGACGAAAGTTGGCATACTCTGTGTGGCTGGGAATGACTGCGCTCCTAAGCGTATGAAGAATCGCATCACTCAAGAAATAGCGGGATGTGTCTTTAATCAAAAGCTGGAAATCTTTTTTAGTTCATTTCATTTTGCCTTACGCCATCACTCCTCGAAATTCATGGAAAGTTTTTATTTGTATGAAAAGGGATATATACGCACTTGAAAGTGTGCAGAATAACTTCACGCGTAAATTGATGCTTAGATGCGATGGGTTAAACTACATGGAGATACCCAACGGAACCCTTCGGAATAGGGCTTATGGGTTGAAATCACTGGAATGGAGAAGAACTAGAAACGACTTGCTAATGGTATTCAAATTATTGAAAAACTTAGTCAAAATCAAAGCAGATGACTTTTTCGTGCGCTGCCGCCTGACTAACTCAAGTGGCGATTACCACATTAGCTCCATCATCGGTGATTACCGACAGGCGCAGGGATGTCTCACCTTAGATCAAAGTTTTTTCGCGCTATATCAGAGGTTTGCTCAAGGTCAAATTTACCTTTGCGGAAGAAATTGCCTTACAGTTCAAATTATCTCAATTTTCATGGCGTTCCATGTGGAGACTTTGATTAGAAGTTCTTACGATTAGTGTAGATTTGCTATATATAGAGGATTATACAAATGATGTTGTGTTCTGTTGCATTACCTGGTTTTAGTTTTATTTGCGTTGTACGTTTTATTGTTGAATGTGCTCTGTCACGTCAACCGAATAAACAAACAAACAACAATTGGATTGAGATAAAATAAAAATATTACGCGAAAAATATGTGTGGGATTTACAAGGAAAAACGAACTTCTAGATCACCAGTGTTACATTGCTTATGTGTTCTGTGTTTGGACTTCGCTGCTTCTGCAGCTTGTTCTAAGAAAAACGCAAAAAAAATGAGCCAGGGTGCAGCGCACAAATCGCTGTGCAAACCCTATGCAATATCACACTGAGGGATCTCCAGCGCAGCGGTCCTGTACCTGTTTCATTTGTTGATTTCTGAGGGTCACTCAGCTTTTTTTTAAGATCATTTACTCGTTAAAACTAGGTTCATACTTTGCGATTTGAGTGATTCAGCCGCGCAGAGAATCAGTAAGAGACATCCTTACACCTCTAGTCGTTGGACCGCTGTAACTGCAACCCCAAGGGCCGGATTTTGTTTTCTGTTAACGTTGCAGCGTCCGAATATACCATAGACACACGTTGGATCCAGTCGCGCATTCAGTCGTGCGTCCCGAGAAGTATGAACGCAGCCCCACATTTTTTTTTCGAGAACAGGATCGATGAAAACAAAAATACTAAAGCATCGGTTAGCATTCACTTCTTTCTAGAATCAGAATGGTAGTCAAATGCGCGGCGCGTTCAGACTTCGCGGTAATGCACGTCGACGCGCTGTACTACGCTACAATTGCTGCAGCGCTCCCATCCCATAAACGCGAACGCAGCCGCAGACGGAATCGACCGGCGCGGCCCCTGTATTGGAAGTGTGGTTGGAAGGCACGTGTGGCCTAGTCTGGTATCGATCAGCACTGTCCGATACGAATCGACCGCCGGCGCCGATCGATTGCCTTCTTGGCTGCGTCGCATACACATGTCTGTTGCGATCGTAGCGCGTGTTAATAGCGAGTCAGGACGCACGTGGAATCGCGAAAAGTCGTGAATCGGCTTCCTGACGTGATTAACAATCAAGTGAAGCTTGATTTTTTTTTGGCTTCCACTGTTGCTGCAGTAAGCTCATTCATGTTTGAATCGGACTAACATGACGGAATTCCGGGATTTTCAAATTTATCTGTAATTCAGTTGACTGAGATCTGTGAATTAAGGTGTGGGACCTTGGTGGACAAACGTCAATTCGCCCATATTGGAGGTGTTATTATGCTAATACCGATGCCATTATCTACGTGGTAGATTCTGCTGATAGGGACAGAGTAAGTAACAGACATCTGGAAGGTAGAGTGTAGAATTAGTTAAATAGTATTCTTACGCAGTGTTGGAATCTCCGTCAAAGAGCTGGTGGCATTGCTACTAAGAATGATTGAATCTCCAAGGAGCCATCCTTGCCGTTCTTGCCAATAAACAGGTGCGTTTGATATGGCGAAACGCCGCTTCATAAGTAGAATGTGTTCAAGTTTCAGGATATTCCCAATTGTCTGACTCCAGCTGAGGTCCATAAAGCACTGGGGCTGGAGGCATTACGAAATAGGACGTTCCAGATTTTCAAAACTTCTGCGTCAAAGGGTGAAGGACTTGATGAGGCTATGGAATGGTTGGCCAATAACCTGCAGCAAAAAAAGTAGTTTTATATAAAGCGCTTGATCAGTCGTCTATTGACTGCTCGTACTCTGCATTAGTTACCGGTCTATTTTGTTTCTCGTACGTTAAAATATGATCTAATTCGCTAAGATGTCCAGCAATGTTCAATTGTTTCCAATGTTTGTTTAATTATATATGATTTTATCAGAATTGTTACGCACGTTGAGCAGCCCCTAATCATTTTTCCTCGTCAGGGACCGCGCTTATGGCGTGCTAGGCCTACTGAGCGCCTTATCTTGAACATTTGCCTCTATGCGTAATTATTTCGTCTATGTGAGTTCTGTGAGAGTTGTCTGTGATTTTTTACTAACATTGTTTCCTGTTATCTCGCGACATTATAAGAGGTCTTTCTCTTGGTTGTTTGCTACGATTACTTCGTGGGCTGGGCAATATGCAAACGCTTTGTGGAAGCATGTGAGTTGGTACAGTAACTTTGGGGAACATGCAAATAACTTCATAAATAAGAAAATACAGTTCGTATCGTACAGCAGTATCTAATGGATGAGATCACCGTGACAGTCACAAATCCCCTATTTCTTTGCCCGTTTTGTTTGCACCGGTACTTCGAGGCAAGAGAATCGAAGAAGCCATCCATACCAGAAGCACGATCAGCTTGCCGACGAAGAATAAGTTGTTGAAGATTGCTGTCTCCCTCCTAAAGAGGTGGTAAATTTGTCGGTGAAAATATCATCATCCAAGAACAACACTGTGATTTCTCAGTATGTAGAAATGGGAGTTTAAAAAAGGTTAAAAAAGTAAGGAACCTTTGCTTTGATCTCTTTCAGTGCTTGTTCTGCTTCGGCAGCCTCTTTCTCTGCTTTTCTCCTTCGCTTACTTTCATTCACCTAAAAATGTAGTTATAATGAAACGGTTACTCACATAACAAAGTTTCGCTACTTAGCTTAGATGTCGACGACTTGTATTTTGCAGTCGCCTTCAGAACGCCCTCGCTGATCTTCTTGTCGATGATCGTCTGAAAGTAGTTGTAGTGAATTCCAAAAATGGCAAACCTGTTGTTCTACGACCTAGCTTAAGCATGCCTGCGTAAATGTAAGTTGTGTAAAATGACTCCTCAAATACTTTCTGTATGCTGAAAAGCGTATGCAAATAATAACATCTGAATTTCTAGCCAACATGTGATTATTCTCAGCTTTCCGTAATTGTTACAAACAATTCTTATACTGACACTTCGGCGAAAATCGCCTTCATAGAGCCTGCCAAGTCGAAAAGCACATTATCAAAACGATTCACCCAGTTAATTTTTCCTTACAGAAAATGTCGAAGGGTAGGAAATGAAGGAATGAAATTGTAAGGAACCCATATCTAGCCTTTTACGGATGTAAAGCTCTACCGGACACCCTGATATGACTTCCAGCTCAGTTTGCGAGTTAAAGGGATTTAGGGACCATATAGCCAGGGCACGCTATCGCGTTGTGATCATTCCTGAAAAATACTACCCCCCCGAATTCCATCCTCAAATACGACCCACCTCCCTATGCCACCTACCAGTTTCCTAGATTTTTTTGCGTCGAGCAAGGGGGGATATATACCCAATCGTCGAGCAGGGGGGATATATACCCAATATGAACATATCTATCATATTTTCCCTAACCTGGGGGAGAGGAGGTCGTAAGGATTTAACGATAATTTTCAACTTTCGGAAATATAGTGCAGGTTTTTGGCAGTCCCTCTCCCAACAATGACCAAATAGGAGCCCCCCCTCCCGTTGTGATGGGCGTGTGCGAAGAAAAAAAAAAAGAAAATAAACTACCTCTGAATACCAAACTCCACTCAAAAGTTCTCATAGAATGCCTGTCACACACTCCATGCGTTTTTAGATCATCAAAAACCATTGAGAAACATTGGTAACTAGGCGCCATTCTTTCGTACAGATGCGGCTGTGTGCCGTTGCGAACTTTGCGGAGCTACAGTAACCTCGCACCTAGTTCCATTATTCGTTGGGGACGTAGCACCTTATTGAGTTTTGGTGGATTATATTAAAGTGTCACATCTATGAGTATCTTTTAGTCCTAGACTCTTCCTGTGCAGTAGCCTCGTATGCATTTTCGAGGAAGGAAGCGATATCATCGACCGAAAACCTCTAATTTACATACGCATAAAGTACTCCCATGGTTTCTCCAAATTTGCGTAATTCACATACGCACAAACGCATTACGAAGTAAAAAAAATAAGGGAAGCAAGTAAAATCTTAGTAAACTAATTCTTCCAAAGCATAACAGTGGTCCCTCTACAGAGGTCCCCTTGAAAAAAGTTACATAAAATGTAGTAAACCATAGAGTTATGAGTGAGTATACATTCAGTACTCCCAACCCAAGGATGCCTCGGCCCACACGGTAATCGCACTGCTCCCATATTGCTTTGGGGAGCGTGGCAAACTCCGATTTATAAAGCCGCACGCTTTCGCCTCTCGCCGAAATCATAAAAGTCTGGCACTCGTCAAATCGCTGGTCTAGGAAGTGAGTCGAGCAGAACGGTAGTAAAAAACCACAGTAACTTTACAGGACATGTTTACCGTTCCCAAGAAGAGATACACCGTTTCCGTGTGATGGTGACCAAGTCCCCCCGGCGGACTTGCAGGGCTTCTCATTGTTTGCGCCCCTGACTTTCGTAACTCGAAAATTTTTGTCGAGGTTATGTCATTTGCTGTATCATGAAGAGCTTTCTTATTCCAGTCTGCTCCACAAAAATAAGCAGCTGCAATCAAACATGGACTATGGAATCGCAGTATGTACACGTATTATCACATAACCGCTATCTTTTCACATATATTAACAGAATAACACATAGAGTCCGCTATCGTGGCCCTTTGTGCTTTGACCTGTTGGGGAATGGTGACGAAGGGGAAGCTATCTGAAAATCTGTATCCCCCTCCGCTCGAATATAGACGCATCTTCCACGAAGTCTCTCCTCGACATTGAATAAAACTGGGCGTAAGGTTACTGTAGCCCCGCAGTGTACGCAATGGCACACAGCCGCATCTGTATGCCTTGTGCTGACGGTTATTCAAAAGAATGGCGCCGGTAACTATTTTGCTCTGTAGGGGAAGAGCAGAAAGTAGTTGGAAGAAAAACGCTAGGGTCCTTCAAAAGTCCTTTTCTATTTCATCGCCGTTGAAGGCACAACGAAACGAGAACACTTCAACCATAAATGGATTGAACTATCTGACAATCGGCGTTTTGATGAACATGAAGCACATTGTCCTTCAGTGTCAGAACTGGGGATAACTCTTTTCAACCAACCAGATAAGCAACTCGAAACGGACAAACCTTTATTCGTGGTTCGTCCTCGAAGGTGGAGCACATGACTGAGCTCATAATCATTGCCATGTCACCCTTCCAAGCATTGTAGGCCGTAACAATATCGTTCTCTTCCTCTTCGGAGCCTAGATAACAATAGTTTTAACAGAAATGTATTAATGAGAAAACCTATAGAGATTACCTTGATACTCTGCAGCAAATTTTTTGATGTCCTCGATTGTCACTTTCTTGAACACTTTTCTCCAAAGATTTATGCTATCCTCATCGCTTAGAACGTTTTCATCATCGACAATTCCTAAAACAAGCAGAGCGTGAAGTGAAATGAACTTAAAGGCCGTCCCAGTTGTTCCTTGTGCTATACGCCACCGTTTACAACTAAAAATCACGCTGCAAAATCATAGTATACACAAATAACAGCATCTAGGATTCTGAACTAGCTGTGTCAGGACTTGGTGGTGTCATAATCCAAAGGAGAGAAATTATGTGCTATCGAGGTGGAGGCTGCTCCAGCAGTTCTCACAAAATTTACCACGAATTACCTGTCGATCGGGCAGGTGATAGTCAGCGGTCAATGCCGTGCTAACATGCAAAATGCTGTGCGTGCTCCGAAGGCAGCGGGTACGGCTGTTGGAGGCGGGTGGTTGTTTCCAACGTCATTGGTGGAAGGGCTGAGGGGTGTGGCCGAGCGCCCTCTTGCAACCTTTCCACCAATAACGCTGGCAGCAACCGCCCGCCTTAGCAATCGCGCCCATCGCCTACAAAGCGGTGTCATGTTGAAACAACAGAAAATCATACCTGATTCATCGTAAAGAATGCGCCTCTCTTTGTCGGAAAGTATAGCATAAGCTCTCGTAATAATCTGAAATTTTGCGGTAGCATCCTTCGCTGCGTCTTCAGCAGAATCAGCCTTATCGGGATGCCATTTCATGGACTGCTTATAATAAGCCTTCTTGACTGAAAACAATAAGGTAACAAACAGTAGCAGCAGAGTAACTTCAAATGGAAGCGTCCACCCTTTGGAAGATGTTTGCTGTCCTGTCGACGCGTTAGGATCTCATACAAATCCTCAGTGTTGAAGTATTGCTTACAATCACTCAGAAGCATCGTTCAGAGTCGCAACAAGATGGAACACTAGAAACCGAGCAATTGAGACACTATAGAAAAACTGATAAAGTATTTCGACACTTTCGGCCAAAGAAATGAGGTGCTAACTTAGGACCACTTGGCTGCGCCCGTATATACCATTCTCACTTTGGACTCACCACTTTTCGAACCAAATTCACCACTCCTTTTAAACCGGGCAGTTCACCAACCCGATCACGCCAGACACCACTCCGAACCCGACGGTCACATCTACTTGACAGCGCGGACATAGATTTTCAACACATGGCCGACTCCGCCCAGTCTTTAAAGGGTTTGTTGCAAACTTCGAAATTTCATAACTTTTTCAACTTTTTAATTTCACATCCACTCTTTGCACAGCGAAGATACTCGTAACCGCGCATGCTCATGCTCCGGCAATTCAGGCTCCGCCCTCTTAGCCACGCGCAGTCACTTTTTGCGAAATTTTGATAGTTCTTTTTTTAAATTTTTGCATTTTTGGATTGCTCCACGAAGCCCCGCCCACTGACATGAGAGAGGCTCCGCCCCCTATTAAGGAGCGCCGTCCACTTTTCAAAAACGGTGCAAATCGCCCACATAAAGCCTTGGCTTGCATGCTAGGGTCTCTTCCGTCACTCGGAACACGTGACGGACGAGACCCTAGGATGAAAGCCAAGGCTCTATACTGCCGATTTGCACCATTTTTGAAAAGTGCGCAG